TATCTGGGTTCGGCATCTAGCCGGCCCAATACTCATCTCGCCCACAGAACCACTCTCTTGGTTCTTTTTTTAAACTCTATGGAATCAGGTACCGTACTTGTCAGTGTGCACACCCCCTGACCGAGATTCCAAGCCCGGCGGGTAGTATCCTACCTAGTAACGTGGGAATACGCCTCATGTCTGTTTCTTTCTTTACTTTCTTTCTTTCTCTTTTCTTCCGAAAGGACATAGTCCTAACGGTCCTCCAAAACCTCGGATTACTCACACTAGATACATATAGATATAACTCATGCATTTCAATCTCATGCAACAACTTCACTTATGCAAACTTATGTACATAGCTTCTCAACAACTTCTCTTTTCTCACAAATTGGAAATCAAATATCATGCAACTTCTTAATGCAACTAGATAATGATTTTCCAAAATAGATATAGGTTTTTGAAAGAATACTTAGGCTTACTTAGAGCCACTAATGCACTTTAGTTAATGATATGCTAAACATGCTCTTTACTGTAAAGAATATCTCAAATTCTCTTTGAGTAATAATCAAGCAAATATTATGCTACTTCATGCTCATCACATTAATACTTAGCAAAACTTCTTAGCAAACACTTAGCAAATATTGATCATGCTCATTAAACTCAAAATGAGCAACATGCTTTAATACTTCACTTTACTGTATAATTAGATTCATGCTCTGCACAACCAAACATCTCATATTCTTGGCAAAATTCTCAAATACTCACAATGGATACTTAGGCATGCTAATCAAGCAAACATTGGCAAATAATGATCATACTTCTTAATCCAACAATCAAATAATTATCATGCTTCTCATTCAAATAGCCAAGACAAAATACTTCACATTTTCATTCTTTGCAAATGTTCACAGACTACTTCTATAGCATGAATCATCACAATTTCTACTGTAAATTACTCATTTCTACTCCAAATTCAATGAAATCAAATTCTACTCGTGCGTCGTAAAGATCCCGAGTGTCCGAGCCTCAAGGGCCCGCGAGTCCCAGTCTGAACTACACGTAGCTGAGCCACAAAGAGCCCGGCCACTACACAGCTTTGGCCTGGCGGGGCTTGAGGGGCCCTGCCGCTTGGATCCGCTAAGCGGCGGCCTAGGGCCATGGCTCTAACTGTGAGCTGTGCCCTAGGGCCGTTCCTCTACGGGGCTTCCCAACGGTCCCTGCCTAGGGCCGTTGGCTAGCTCCGTGACTCCATCTGGTGCACATTGTCTGTGCGCCAATGGGGTTCTTCTTCACCTGAAAACAAATACAGGGCAATCTAACACTCCCAAATCCTCAACAACATATCATAGATCAACAATAGATCACTTAATAGCTCAACCACATCAATAATCTAGCATTTCTACACATTTCAATATTTATCTTGACTTCACAGAGTCTATAAAAAGAGGTGGGAGTCCATGAGTTATATACTTTATAGATCAAAAGTTCTTAGTTAAATCTTTCTAGAGATACATAGTATTTTCCAAAATATAAGATGTTAATAACTTAGTTTTAGGGAAATGATAGAATAAGCTTCAAATATCTATATGATCAAATATATATCTCATACTTAGTTATATATGTACATATTCCCAAAATCAAGTATAACATTTCCCAAAACATATAAGTACATATATGTAATTCTAGGAATAGAGCTTTCTTGGAAAATCATAGCTTTTGGTAGTTTAAACCTTTCAAGTCCAAATAATATTTTATATGCTCCAAATAGTTTCTCAAAGGTTGAAGTTGCTCAATTGAAAAGGATTCTAATTATTAATTAATCAAGAGATTAGGGGTTTAAATCCCACCTTAAACACTTTTACCAAAGCATAACAACCACCAATTAAACCAAAAAGAGAGATATTGGCCAAAGGAATCAATCCCAAGCACTCCAACATATAATCTGGTTCTCTAACCAGTGAGCCACAACAGACCTTAGTAATGAAACTAGTCTAGTTCCTTTACTAAGGTCCGTGGGTCACAGAGCTTGTCACGGAACTACTCCTAGTACCGTGACTTGCTCTCTGGTGCACTCTGCCTTCTCGACATGAACAAAACAGATACCCCAAAAATTCCACAGAAGATCAAATAGGTTCACAACATCAAATTTCACCAAACATTTCAACAATATCATGCATCAAACATCAACATTTAACTATATAACAAACATTCACAAATTTTATGGGTAAATAGCTAGGTTTGAGGTCTCCATGGGTTATACCTTGAGTTTTTCAACCTCAAGATTCCTTCAATCTCCATCCTCAAGCTAGGCCTTCTTCTTTACCATCTCCATTTCTCAAGCAACAACCATAACAACCCAAACAAACACATCCAGCTTAGATAATCTATCTCAAAGACAAGCTAATAACGAAATAGAAAAGGGAGGAAGAAGAGAGAAGCTTACCCAAGCTTGAACCTCAAGCCTTGAACCTGCTAGACTTTGCTAGAAGAAGCTCTAAAATAAAGAAGATGATGGAGAGGGAGAGAGACACGAGAGAAAGATGATGGATGAGTGCTGCTGAAGTTTTCTAATGAGTGAATAGTGAAACAAGGGGAAAATGCTATCCTTTATAGTTAGGGTTTTGGGGGTAGAATTGTAAAATAAAATTTTAGGGTTCACCTTGCATCATAGATCATAGTTTAAAAAAATGATTTTGCATAACTGGGGGTCAAAAATAGATTTGCTAAAAGATAGTTTTAATTAAAACACTTGGTTCAGGTTTCACAGGTTCCTTTCCGGTTTCACTCAGATTGACTTTTTGGGTCAAAACTTGGTACATAAATGTACCCGAAATCTAGGATTTTCAAAATAGAATATTCCCAGTATCAAATTTATTTAAAAACTCGATTTAAATTATTTAATTCAAACACCTTTTTCAAAATAAAATTTTTTGAAAGAGTGAAAATAGCTATTTTGGAATTTATAGCATAGAATTTAGGAAAATTATTTTTGGGTTGTCACAAGAACCGACTGAGTGCATCTAATCGGTCAGTTAACCTTTGCAATTCTTTAGAGATCCCGGCGGTTGCATATCAAGGATGACATTCACCTTCTCAGGATTCAGCTCAATTCCCCGTTTGGTGACCATATACCCCAAAAAACTTGCCGCCTTGAACAACGAAGGCGCACTTTTTAAGGTTCAAACGAATGTTGTATTTCAACATTATTCTGAAGCAGTCTGCTAGGTCTCCAACGTAGTCTATCTCTTCCTTACTTTTAACCAGCATTTCGTCCACATAGGCGGCCATGGACTTACCCAATAGTTGGTGGAACAACTTTGACACCATCTGAGTGTATGTGGCGCCGGCATTCTTCAGTCCGAACGGCATGACTTGATAACAATATACTCCATCTAGTGTGATGAATGCGGTCTTTTCTTCGTTTGCCGGGTGCATATAAATTTGGTGATTGTAACAACCCAAAATTGTATTTTATAAATCCAATTTTAAGAAATTCCCGAAAATAGTCATTTTCACTCCATTAAAATTTTTTTGCGATCAATTGGTGTCCGAATAAATTATTTTTGTCACATTTTAAATTAATTCGACGCCAAAACCTATTTAATTCGAAATTTCCTAATTTTCGGGTACTTCGCGTATCAAGTTTTAAATCTAGAAATTTATCTGACTGAGATAGGGAGAATTCAAAAAGACTTTAAATAAGGGTTCATCTAAATAGGTTTTTGAGAAAATTCATTTTCAACCCCAAAGTATTTAAAATAGCATTTCTAGTCTATGGTTCATGTTGCAAGGTGGACCAAAGAGGCATTCTCCTTGTCTGATCTTTTCTAGAACTATCACCAAATTACCATTTTGCCCTCCACCAATCATTGAGTATCCTTCTAGGGTTTTGAACCCATATATAAGCAATAGAAAGCCAACTTTTCTCCTGATTCCATTCTTTGTCTTCCCACCCAAGAACTCATCAAGGGAGAAAGAAGAAACATAGTGAGTTTTTGGTTCATTTCCATCCTTGTTCTTCTAGTTTCCTCTCTTTAGCTTCTATATATGAGTTCCTCCTCTTAAGTGTTGTTGTTTGGCTTGTTTGAGTCATCTAGGTGGTCAAGGGGGTAGTGGTTGAGTTGGGAAGAAGAAGGAATCCAAGCAAGAAGAAGAGGCAACAAGAGGGGTATAACCCCATGGACTCCCTCTTAGATTTGGCTCTGTGAAGCCTCTTTATTGAGTAGAAATTATGGGATTTTTTTGTGTTTATGCTTGAAAGTAATTTAGTATTTGTCTTTGACTAGTTGAGAATGTTTTGGACTTGTTTGGATTGAGATTGCAGGTGAAAATGTCATCTGGTGCACACACAGAGTGCACCAGATCAAACCAGCGGCCCGAGCCGCGGCCTATCAGGAGGGTCGCCGGCTAGAGCCGTGGTTACACGGGTCTAGGGCACGGCCCTAGAGGAGGGCCGCCGCCTAGACCCGATGGTGTAACGGGGCACATGGGGCGGCTCTTGAGGAGTCCCGCCCCAGGTCCCTGAGTTTTGATCTGAGAAGATTTTGTGCAGTGGACGAGCCCTTGTGGCTCAGCTACGTGTTGTTTCGGGCCAAGTGTTACGGACCCTTGTGGCTCGGCTCTTCGGGATCGTCTCGACGCACGTTTTGGCTTTGATTTCGTGGAATTTGGATAAAAATGAGTAAGTTGTGGAGGAATTGTGAAGGAATTGCTATACAGTATAATTTTGGCTAAGTTCACTGTGAACAAGAAATACTTGATAATGTGATCTATTGATATTTTTGTGTTGAGTAGAGAAGCATGATCCTTTGAGAATATCGTTTATTATGAAAGCATGACTAGATTATGATATTTGATCAATGAGATTCGAAGCATATTTTGTTGTTAAAAATGTATAGAATTTGCTATATTGCAAACCGAGCGTGATGTTATATTCTTGAGTACTTCATGTTATTTTATACATGGTTTAGAAGCATGTTATAGAGTATTTGGAATCTCACATATGTCATATTTCAAAAATGCATAAGGGGCAAGGTGAGCCCAAGAAATATTTTCAAAAACCATAAGCATGCGGTATAGCATTATTTGATGCATTGAGAAATAGTAGAGTTGTTGCATGCATGAAATTGATGCATGAGAGATATATCTATGTATTATCTATATTGGTGAGGTTTTGGAGGATACCGGTTAGACTATGTCCTCTCGGGAGATATTTATGGACATTGCGGTCCAAGTATATGTAACGCGGCGTATTCCCACGTTACGAGGTTGGAAACTGCCCGCCAGGCTTGGAATCCTGGTTAGGGGGTGTGCACACTTAAAGTTCGATACTTGATTCCACAGCACGAGAACCACGAGATTGGTTCCGTAGACGGTATGAGATATTGGGTCGGACTTACGCCGTTCCCGATGGGGCAATTCACGCTTCGGTGAAACCCTGAGCCGTCTACGAGCGAGAAGAAAAGAAAGCGAGTCAATAGAGACTCAAAAGAAAGAAAGCGAGTCAAGAGAGACTCAAAAGAAAGAAAGTGAGTCAAGAGAGACTCAAGAGAAAGAAAGTGAGTCAAGAGAGACTCAAGAGAAAGAAAGCGAGTCAAGAGAGACTCAAAAGTAAGAAAGAAAGAAAGAAAGAGACCTCCACAGAAAGTACTCTATTTTTTATAAAGAATGTATGAGTGTGTATATATATAGTATTGCACGAGATTGCATATGTATATAGAACTACACATGATTGCATATGATTATGGTATTGCACGAGATTGCATATGAGTATGATTATAGTATTGCACGAGATTGCATATGAGTATGATTATAGTATTGCACGAGATTGCATATGAGTATGCTTATAGTATCGCACGAGATTTCATATGAATATAGAACTGCACATGATTGCATATGAGTATGATGTATAGCATTGCACAAGTTGCATATGAGTATGATGAATAGTGTTGCACAAGATTGCATTTGAGTATAATACCACATGAGATTACATAATGAGAATGTTGATTTAAGATTGTTCATCGAGCATGATTATTTTGTTATATTTGAAGCCTTGTATATCAAGTTTATGTGATGAGAATGTGAGAGCATAAGAATACCTGTTATATGGTTTATTAGTATGATCCTACCTATAAGCATGAGTTGCTTGTTAATGTAATTGAAGTGTTTATATGTTGAAGTATCTAAGTGTTCAGTCTTATATGTATATAAGCATGCCAGTTAATATTATAGGTTGCAAGCATTTAGAAAGTATGTGATGGATCTAAAGATGATTAGAGATAAGTTTGTTGTTTCCAAGAGGAATCAAATGTTTTCAAAGTATATCTATAATGCTTTACAGGGTTGAGTGTGGTTATACTTAGCTTCGTGTTAACGGGTGTTTTCCTATTTGTCTATGTGTTGCTTGCAAAACCCCTTTCAGGTGGGCCCAGCAGTGAGAGGAGATCGAGTTAGATTAGTCTCGTAGTTTGAGATGTCTAAACTCTAGATATGTTGATGACTTTGTTTTCGGATTTTAGACTCATGGTTGTTATTATGGTTTTGATGATGATGTAGACTTTTGGGGTGACTTTTCCCCCTTATGTTTTTAGTATTTGTTATGGATGCCAGATATTTATGTTATTTCTAGTATTACCCCTTAGCCTGTGCAATCACCACGGAGTGGTGGTTGTGGCGGTGACATTCCCACTAGTTAGCTTTTTAGTTATTATTTCCGCTGCTTATTTTATGTTAATGTTTGGATTAGAATTGTGATTCAGAGATAGAAAAGTGGGGGTGTTACAAATTGGTATCAGAGCGGTACGAACCGCGGGAGACTTAGGATGTTTGACCCTTAAGATTGAGTATAGAAACTCTAAGTAAAAGTCCTAGGAAGGACAAGTTAAGGAAAGACCTCTAAGTTGAAGTCTTAAGAAAGACAAGATAAGAAGAGAACATTAAGTGGAAATCCTAAGAAGGATAAGATTAGGGAAAGAGCCCTAAGTGATGAATTAAGAAGAGAAAGCTTCGAGTTCAGTGATTAAGTATGAGAATCAGAGTTAAGAGAAACTCTAAGTATCAGTTAGGAACGCGGTGAGGTCGTGAGTTTCCTTGCGTTTGCTTATCTGTTTTTGTGCTTTATCAATGTGTTTAAAGTGCTTTTGCTTATCTTTTGAAAGTAAAGTAGAGAAGTAAAGAGAGAAGTTGAAAGAGAAAAACCAAGAGTTTGAAAGTTAAAGCTTAGAAGAGAAGTTGTTCTTGTTAAGTTGTTAAAGTAGATGAGAAGAGATGCCTTTGTTGCTTTGTGTGCTTTGCTTGCTGCAAGATTTATCTTAAGATTAGAGAAGTTAGAATCAGCTAACTTTTAGTCGTGCTAACAAGAATGATCTGTTCTGGTCATGTTCAAAGGGTTTCGCGATGCCGCCGCAAAGAGTTAGAGAGGAATTCCTCGCTCCTCAGGACCTAGAGCGTCGTCATCTACAGACTTGACCGAGAGCCTGCGCCAGCTCACCCAGTTGACTCAGACCATAGGAGTTGCCGTACTCAATGGGAATAACGGTAGTGGTGATTTGTCTAGGAAGATCACGGGACGTAATCCACCGTGTTACTTAGGTCAGGAGGATCCGGAAGTTCTCGAGAGTTGGATCCGCACGTTTGACAAGCTGTTTGACGTGGTAGGATGCCCAGAGGATCAGCGAGTAGAGGCTGCTGTATACTATCTACAGGGAGAGGACGATCACTGGTGGGTCATGGAGGGACCGACTGTTCGGGCAAGAGAAGGGTTTGACTGGGAGATGTTCAAGATGGTATTGAGGGAGAGGTTCTACCAGGAGTATGTCAAGGCTGCTAAGTATGAGGAGTTCTTGCATCTCGAGCAGGGAAGCTCGACTGTCCCGGAGTATCATGCCCGCTTTGTGGCACTAGCTCGATTCACTCCTACCTTGACACCGGATGAGGCGAGTAGAGCTCGCAAGTTTATCCGGGGGTTGCACTATGATGCTCAGAAGTCTTTTTCAGCGGCCAGATTTGCTACTTTGACTGAAGCCTACAATGCAACTGCTGGTTACTCTAGGCTTCAACAGTTGCAGTGAGATGCCATGCAGGGAATGAAGAAAAAGAATGAGGGTGTGGATTCGCAATCGAACAAGGGGCACAGGTTCAATCCGACGAGCAGGTTTGACGATCGAGGCGGGGAAAGGAGGACATGACTATGAGGCAGGGTGTGACACCCCGAAATCCAAATTCAATTAAGGGATTAATTGAGTAATTAATCCTATTTCAATTTGTAATTTAATTCCTTAAATTCCTAAAATTTAATAGTTGGGGACTAGTAATTGACTAGTCAACCCCAAAGTCAAAGTTGTACCTTGAGCTTTGTAAGGAGTTCCCTTGTTCCTTACACTTCCTTATGTTAGTAAGAGTATTCTTGACCTTTCACTTGTTGTTGGTAATGTAACCTAACCTAGTAAGACTACTTTCATTCTCTCCTTACACTTTTCTAAAAATCTAGCTCCACCCTCTCTCTAAAAGGTGAGTAGCTTTTCTTCCAAGCCAAGTTGGAACCTTGCCAAAACTTCAAGAGTTGCTTCCAAGATTCAACCTTTCTTATATTTGGGCATCTAGGAGGGTAAGATCTAAGTTCAACTTGTGTTTTTGGTTTTATCTAAGGTGTCTTTTCTTAAAGATAAGATCTTTATGATCTTTTGGTGTGTTCTTGAAGTGGGTTTGGAAGGTGAGCCTTGTGATGAGCTTGTTGAGGTGTAAAGTGAAGTCTTTAGTCTACAAGAGGTAACCCATGCTCTACAAAATCTATTTTGCTTACCTATATGAATATTTCTTGGATTCTACATGTGTTTTTCTATGAAATGTGAGTGTTTATGCATTGTCTTGTGAAAATGCATATCTAGAGCTTGTGTTTAGGGTTCTTGTGTGTCATTGCTTGGAATTTCCTTTGATTCAAGTCATTTTGTTGTATTTGGTGAGATTTGGCATGTTTTGGACTTGAATTTGAGCTTGGTGTTGAAAATTCCCGAAGGGATTATTTTGTATAGGTATATGTACCCGCGGGCGGAACGACGGGTAGAGCTCCAACCCGCCGCCCACCCGCGGGGAACGTAAGCCGGTGGGTAGTGTACCCGCGGGCGGAACCACGGGTGGGAGCCTAACCGTGGGTCCACCCGCGGGGAACACTGTGGTGTTTGATTGGGATTTGTTCCCCGTGATTCTTTTGACTCGGTATTTGGTCTTTTGACTTCTCGTTGTTCTTTTGTGGAACTATTTGAGTGTCTTCTTGATGTTTCGTATGTCTAGAACTATATGGTAGGAATCCATGTAGGTTTTGGTGTCTTGAATCGTGCTAAGTGTTCAACATTGTGTTTTGTTGAACCGTGATAAGTCTTGTGTGTTCTTCGGAACTACGTTTGGTTTACCCGTTTGATAAGCATGCTAGTTTGGTGTTTAAATGCTAGCGTGTGTGTTGTTTGTACCTTCTTAATGGTTGATGATAACTTGTGTTATTCATCGTTGTTGTTGGACTGTGATTCATTCCTTGATTGAGTATGGTTTCATATCTTCGTTGTGATCCGTTGATTGATTCCTGTTGAGATGTGATGCGTGTGTGGCTGTACCTGGATTGCACGATTTCGGTTTATGGGGCCTTAATCACCAAGGTACGGCAGCGGTCCTCGTGGTGGCCGTGATGCGATTATGGAGTTTGTGGCCTTTGTGTAAGGTTCACGTGATTCTTGGGTGGCATGTGTTGCCGTGTGTGTGATCGGTACCCTCGTGTACTATGAAATCGGTGGTTCTGTTGGAGATCTGTTGGAGAGGAGACGACGGTCCTCGGAGGGAAAAGGTTGGACTTGGTGTACAGGGGTCCTGGAGGTAAAGGTTGGAACTAGATATAAGGTTGGGGGTAGCCATAAGGTTGGAACACGGCATAAGGAAGGCATATCAACTCGTGATGAGTGATGTCACGAGGGCTTGTGTAACCGTGGTTGTGTGTTCTCTTCTTGTGACGTGTGTAGTCACAACAGCATATGTTGCCATCGGTCTTGTCTTTATCTTTCGTGTTGTGGTTAACCTTTGTGGTTTGGGATGTGTTCCCGTATCCTTGTTGAGAGTGTTGAGTCTTGTGTTGACTATCGATCTTGGTTTTGTACTTATATACTTATGTATTCCATTTCGAAAATGGCTTTATAACTTATATCTATCTATGTATGATATTTCACATGTATTGGTGGGTTACCAGCATTATTCGCTGACCGGGCGTCGTCCCATGTTTTATTGTGTTCTTTCAGGTGATGTCTAGGCGAGTGCGCAGTCTAGTGCCTGTTAGCATAGCTTCTCCCGTTGGTTTTATGGCCTGTGTGCCGATCTAGTTGTAGAGTTTTGAGACTATGGATTAGTTGTAAACAATGCAGATATTGCCGTAGCGTTCATCCTTGTTGGTGAACGTGGCATAACACCCCATGACTTGGATTTATATTTATCCAGTTATCTCTTAGTCTTCCGCTGTGTTTGTTGTTTAGTTGTGTTATCTGCATGTTTAAGGCTTTTAAATAGCTTGTTTTTAGGGGGTGTTACACAGGGAGTTGGAGCTGGAGGACCACCGAGTGAGAGGGTTTCGGTATGCCCGAGATATGGCAAGGACCATCCTAGGACAACTTGTGGAGGATTGCCCGTAGTTTGCTTCCAGTGTGGGATGCCGGGCCATAGAGCCGCTATTTGTTGTTCCCCGAAGACGGAGGGATCCCATGGTACGATCCCGAGCCAGCCACCCAGAGGTCCGATCAATCAGGCGCCGAATCAAGCTATGGGAAGTGGTTATCCACCAAGAGGAGGTCCGCACAGAAATGGGAATCATGGACGAGGTGGAGCGCAGCAAGGACGTATCAGAGGAGCTGGACTAGGGAGGATCATGGTCATGGGACAGATTCAGGCTGGAAGCCGCAATCTCGAGAAAGGTAACACTCTATCTTGGAATGAGTGTGTTGATTCTTGCATGAATGCTTAATTGGATGTGTATGCTTGAGAAAATTTGTTACAAGTTGTTGCAAGTTGTGGGAAGATGTGCTAATTTAAAATTTTGGGAACTTAGAAGTTAATTGAGAATTATCTTAGAGAAAAGCTTAGACTTGAATGTTATGAATTAACAAACACGAGATTTGAAGAATGGAAATAAGTGTAAGTAGGGATAAAATCATTAAGGAACGATTAAAGTTTAGTTAAGAGAGTTATTTACCGAAGTAAAAGTGAAGACGGGGAAAACGAAAGAAAGAAACGACGAGAAAAGATTTGGATAAAAATTGAATATAAGTTTGAATTGGGACAAGCAATTCCCGGGAGGAATTTGAAAGTCAAGGGATTGACTAAGAATCGAGAATTTTTTTAAAGTCGAGGATTACATCCAATTTTGACCCGATTTGAAGATTTGACAAAGTCGGAGGACTGATTGCAATTTGGAGTTGAACCAGACCCGACCCGGCTACCCGACCCGGTGGCAGGTCTAGGCCACAGGCCCGGAACGGGACCCGTTCCGTGTGACGGAACGTGGTCACGGACCACATAATGGTCCGTGACCTCAGGCCGTGTCAGCCTCGCTGACACCGGGCTTTGGCGCGGACCACTTAGAGGGCCGCTGCCAAGCCCCTTTACCCAACCCTGATCAGTTTTACTCCCAAACAAAGCATTGGAAATTCATCTTCTTTTTCTTCTCTTCTTCGCCGCTCACTGCCTCAACCCCAACCAAAAATCTATCTCCTTCAAATCTCCACTTTTCTTCAAGGAAATTACAAAAGTATCTTCCCTAAACCACTCTAAGTACAAGAAGAATACTAGTTGGGTCATCCACTGCAATTTTAACAAGATCAAGACAACAAGTTTTGGACCACAATGGTGAAGGGAAAACAACAAGTGGAGGGAACCAGTCAGGAATGATAAAGTGTTTAGTAACAAGTCAAGGCCACTGTCAATGAAGCTGAATATGATTACCTCCCAAGTTGAGGAGATAAATAGAGCCTTTACAAGAGCCAGAGCAGTAGGAAAAAGCCACGTTGATACCACCTGGAAACAAGTCAAATGGGTTAAACCCAACCATGGATGGATTAAGATGAATATGGACAGGCATTCATGCGTTAACAAGGCTGACTGTGGCTGTGTAGCAAGAGACGAGCATGTTAGCTGGCTTCATGGGCTCAAATATAACATCGGACCAAGGTCAGTACCTAGTTCGTAAGCTTGGGCAGTCTTAAAAGGTATACAACTAGCAAAGTTTTTGGGATACAGAAAGGTGATGTTCGAATCTAATTCTAAGGAAATAGTTGAAGGTTTTTTTCTGGCAGAAAGATAGGCAGCATGGTTGACAATATCATATGGGCTTGTAAAATTGAGCTTGAAGGTCTAGATATGTGGCAGATCTCCCACATCCCCCGGGAGCAAAATAATGTGGTTGCAGATAAGCTAGCAAAACTTGCATTGTCTTCACCCCCGGGAGTTCATATCCTCAGCCAGGCTCCAGATGAAGTCTTATCAGCCTTAGTGGATGATTTGGCTGGTATCCCTGTGTGGAGACAGATAGTTGATAAAGATGTATAGTTTGGGGTCTCCCTCCTCCCTTTGATCCAAAAAGTACAACAAATTTGACTCATCAAGCCTAATCTTTTCATACTATAGTTTGTTTTGCCAAATAACTCTTTTGTTTTTTTTTCCTCAGACATATTCACAGTTCCACACCAAACAAAAAGGGAGTAGGAAAATTATAAAACTGAACCAATAAGATGAATTTACCCTTTGCCATACTATGGAATTTGACAGAGGTAGAGGTAGAGGTAGAGGTAGAGGTAGAGGTAGGGATGGAAGCCTACCAAACAAGAATACACATGCTTTTTAAACTCAGCCTACAAAATATTTGGGAGCTGAGAATCCAGTCTCTGCTGCAACTCCTTAACCTGTGTTGAGAGCTCTGCCTTTTGCTCCTTGTAGCTTTGCAGCAGGTATTCTTTCCCATCGATCACTTCCTTCAGTTCAGCCACTTCACGCCTCAGCATTTCTATCCTTTCCCCGTCTCCTCTCCCCTTTTCTGAAGATTTCAAATGTCTCTCTGCTTCAAAATGACCATTTGCATAACCATTCCTTCCTTCACTTCCCCATAAAGAGGGTACAGTTGGGATCTTCTCGCAGGAATCCACCTGCCCGACACAATGATCTGCAATTACCTTCCTCAGCCTTTGAATTTCTCTCTCTGAATCAAAAAGATCCCTGTTCGCAACATCCAGCAAAGACTGTAGATGGGAGGAATGAGAAAGCTGAGCATTCAATGAACTCTGCAATTCTACAATCTGCTCCTGCATCTCTAGTATCATTTCATCCCTTCTCTTCACCTGTTGTCTCAGCTTTTGTATTACTTCTCGCTTGCTGAAAATGTCAGAACCAGATTCGGAGACACACGGTGACTCAGAGCCATTTGAGAGGTGCAATGGCTTCTGCGGCAGCTCAAGACGATCTACGGAGGATGACCATGCCCCACCGTTTTCTCTGCTGAATTCAAGCGAAGGGACAGTCACGAGAGGAAGTTCTGTTTCACTTTCTGTTAGTACTTGGCCATTGCACTGCTGTTTCATATCCATCACGTCTCTAGTTCCTGTTCATTTAAGATTGAAAGAAATCCATAAGAGCAAGGGACATTTACAAGAGAGTAAATGAAACAACTCACGACTATATTCCATGGCGCGTAACTGGGGCATTCTCTAGGGATGTGCCAATAGACAACCCTTGTTTCAGGCGGAGAAATGTTTACTGATCACTAAGAAGGCCAAAGAACAAGGGAAAGGGACCATGTTATAGAAATAGCTTGATAAGGCATGCATTTTAGGGAAGTGAACTCTTAATAGAGAAGCAAGAGCTAGAAGAAAACCTTTGAAACGAATGCTTAAGGTCCATTCCATCAGGAAATAAAAGCTCAAGTACTGTATTTATTTAAAGGAGGCAGAAATTTTACTTATTTTCCTATATTATTTGAAAGCCAGCAGAATTTCCCAGAGATAAATTAACACTTCATGATACAATAGCTGTAACTAGCTAAGCAACCAACTGAAGCAGCAGATATAAAAACCAGAACTTGAAAGAGAAACCCAACCAACCAAGGCTCCAATTGGATGCCTAGATGATTTTCAGACCTGAAAGGAAATTATAGCAGTTTTCATCATCTTGGTTGAAACAGTATGAACTTGACTGTAAATGGCAATTCCTAGCTTTCTTTCTCTCAGCAGGTTTATTATTTTCTGCATTCAAACAACTACAGAAACTAAGAGCACGACTTAATCTCATAAGACAACTCATGATTAATTCAATGAATTATACAAGACCTTTTGAAGTGTTGCCGGTAGTGTTCTGTTGTTTTGCATCAAGCACCTGCTTGAGCTTGTAGCCCAAGCGAACTGACAAGGTACTCAGTAAAGCACCACCCGCAATTAGGACCCAGTTTGGCCCCTCACCCTGTAAAGCTTTAGACTTCTGGGCTCTAGATGTCCCATTGGCTCTTGATTTCATTTTGTGAGTTGCCAGAGTATTGAATAATATAGTTGCAGATCACGAACATAAACGTACAGAAGAAAAGCAGCATACTACATCAAACTGCACCAGCCAGTATGCTCTGCTGCTCCAAGGTTAACAGAATCAAGAGCTTAATGAAAATAGAGATGCTTAACATATTAGAAACATGAGAGAGATCCTTAAGTTAAAAGATCATCTTCCTTTAGCAGTTGATAGACATAAGCAAGATCAATAAAACAGCATCATACAGATTCATCATTCATCTAGTATAATCATACACACACACTCTCTTCCATCAGGACACCTTTTGCCTCAGAGAAAATTGTTTTTTTTCTGGAAAGACCAAAGTTTACCTTGAGGCCAATGTTGTCTACATCAATACCTCCACATATATGTTGAATCCTATATGAAGAGTTATCATACTTAGGAAATGGTATATCTTACTTTTTGTCAAAGCAAGATCAGCAATGCAGTGATATCTCTTTTTTATACACACACATATATAAACTTCTCTCTTAATAAGCGAACATATGCACATGACAATCATGACCTTATATAAGATCTGTTCCCCAATGCTCTCAACCGAGGCATAAATTTGGGAATTGGGATAGAATGCTCTTTGGGTAGAACCTAGCAAATAAGTATATCGAAAAACAAAGACTTCTGTGCTTCTACGAAAAAGGATGTTAAAAAAAAGGCCAGTTCAATGGCAAATCCTTCATTACACTAGTGGCCATGCAAGAGCTTTTTTATTTATTTATTTATTTTTGGTACACCATGATACTTCTCAAACAGTATAATATCATAACATTAACTTAAAAGAAAACCCAGAAAACAATAGCAACAAAAACAACAATAATAGATATAGATATATACATTGGTTAGATAGTAGGATAGATAAAGATTTATTAGAATGGTAGATGATAACCAAGAGAAAAATAGATCAAGCTTTCTTCTAAATGGAATGTAGTTGACTTGGAGTTTAGCCTAAGCCTAATTTGGATAGACTTATGAAAAGAGCTTATATCTTTTGAAAATCTGGTTTTAGCTTATTTCAATACACTATTTCAAAGAACTTATGAGAATAAGCTGAAAAAACATTGGCAAACCCTTGTAAGGTATTGTAATCATATAGAAAGTACATAAAAGCATTTAGTTTAAGCTGTTTATCCAAATTGGGCCTAGAAGACAACAGGGGCATGAGTTCATATTGAGTGAGCATCCATTTATTTCAAGCTGTTTATCCAAATTGTACTGTGCTTCTTCAAACATGCATTTACACTACAAATTACAAAATTTAAAATAATATAAAAGGAGCACTCTAAAGGTACTTAATTGCAGATTGTGCTCAATACTAAACATACTCTCCACAGAAAAGTACAAAATAATCATTCCCAAATGGCCAAACCTCCTTCCATTTATTTCACTAGAAGAGACAATCATCAGAATATAAGTTGATTAAACAAAACCTACTTATGCTTGTAGATCTGTACAGATTGTAACTACGTAATTCAAACTTATAATTTCGGTGGCTAACTGCTTCAAGAAGCTTTTCTAACAGCGTATGCAACTAAATCATCTAAGCAGACCCTAAATATTTCCACTAAGATATGCAGGAAAAAATAAATAATAAAATATCAAATAACTTTTTCAAATTAAAAAAAAAAAAAAAAAAAATCTACTGAAAGTTGTTGAAAGTATTATAAAGTTCACTGGTTTTCCAGGATAAATTAGCCTCTTTTTATTTGAAATAGAAATCAAGTATTTCAATAAAATACTGTTAGTTTAATTGTAATAATGTAATAATAGTACATTAACTAGGTTCGTTGAACTTTTCCACGATGACTATATGGAACTTTATAGTAGTTGGAGTGGAAGTTACAAATTTAGCCCTATTTCCTAACTATAAGAAGTGATGGATCATAGAATATAATCGGAACAAATTCACAGTTGCATTCAGCTTTTCTTACAATTTTGTAATATCTTTATCTGAAAACTATCGCAGAAAAGTTTGACATAATGCAATACAATGAGCACACAGCAGTATGTTCAAGAACGGAAGAGTAGCCCATGAAAGATGAAAGATGAAGGAATGACCCAAGTCAAATATAGTGACATCATGCAATCAACAAGAGTGCAACTCACCTTCACATCTTCAGATAGCTCTTTACTATGTAATATGTTACTCATACATCAATTCTCTCACAAAAGCACTTTCTGAAACCAAAAACAAAGTAATAAGTACAAAGATACCGAATGGGAGAAACAAACAAACATATAAATAAGAAAATGGCTTGGATAAATAACAACTCAATGCATATACCAAAAGAGAGAAAGGTCAGCCTTGCTGTAACTAATTGCTTAGCATGCATGCGAGGTCAGGGGTATGGAGTTTAGATTGATAAGCACAAAAAGGATAAGCTTATTTTTAAATAAATATTTTATACAATACAAACTTTATGGTTTTCTATCATTTGGTCATTTTCTGTACACATCATTTTCCTGCTTAACCACTTCCTCTTTACAAACATCATTTAGTGGCTTGATAGTCCACATCGCACACAGAGTAATATAAAAATAGTATAATTAAGTCCTTGTATTTCCACCAGTTAGAATATTCATGCTCCTTTAAGAGAACATTTTAATTTATGATTAATAGGTAATTTCTAACAAATGTAAGAACCATAAATGCCCATGTGTGCCAACAGTAAGACAAAAAGATGCAACTTAGCCACATAATCAAACCACTAACAAGATAAGGAGTATTTTTCCTTAGCACTTTTCTGAATGCATTTCCCCAAGAACAAAAATGTTTAAAAAAAAAAAAAAAAAAAACTTTTTGAACTGCAGAACATTTCTTGAAATGGGGAACCAGAATAAGTAGCAACTTGCAGCATAATCTATGAGAACGGCAAGGAAATGTACAAGTATTCCTTATGGTTCATTTGCAGTACAAAACAACAATCGACACAAATTTCCCCACTATACGCAATTAACACTAAAGACAATGCCAATAACTGAAAATGAGCACCACATACAAACAAAAAATTTAACCAAAAAGAAGGTTTTTGTTTACGATGAACAAGAACCAGCTATCGAATAACCTGCCAGTTAAAAGAGAGATAACTACAGCAAAAATAAATAAGAGAGTACGATTCACAGAGCACTAAGAGCACAGACTGCATATCAAATAACAGTAACAATACAGATGAGCATTTTTCGGGGGAACGGAAAGGAAGATGAAATACCTTGTTGTTCTCGACGAAATGAGGAAATCCAGAATCGGCTGATTGATTTCTGTGTTTCGGTTCAGAAATGAATGTTTGCGGGTTAGGGTTTGTGGATTGAAAAAAGTGAGAATGAATGAGAGATGTAGAGCAGCGTAAAGCAGGTAAAGTGCGAGTGGACTGAGGAGTAGAGGGGCCGTTAGAACCAAACGAAACCAACGGCATAAAGGTTACCCAAATCTTAATCCCGTTTCTTCTTAAAATTTCATAGTCAATACTGTTTTGGGTTATTCAATTAACATAAATAGACAATAAATATAAAAAGGGAAAATCACATTTTTGGTGTTTCAATTGTTGCCCGATCTGCAATGTAGCCCTTCATTGTCAATTTCATTCAATTGGGTCCCTATTTGTTGTAAATCGTAGTCAATTTGGTCCTCCAATCAAATTTCTCTCAAACTATAGTTAATATCATGGACAGAAATGTGAATTCACAAAACCCTCCCTTTACCCCTTTCCTTCATTGACCACATTTGACTCCAATTTAACTCCATTTCAAACTTAGAGTACCCATTCCATTTCACGTACCCATTCACCCAAGCTGTTTACATTTCAACTCTAACCCTAACCCCCAATCTATACTGATTTCACCCAAGCTGTTTACCCCCAAATCATTTCAGACATAATTCACACCAATTCTTACTCTCAATCTGCGATTCACGTACCCATTCTCCCAAATTCTACGAGACAACGAAGTTGATATTGCAAGAAGATGGCTTCAAACAACTCCGGCGGTTCAGTTGAATGGATTCCAGAAGTGCATTGTTGGTGCGGCGAAGTCACTCCGGTAAGGATGTCCTAGAGTTATGTCAACCCTGGAAAGCGATTTAGAGCATGCCCACGTACACTATGTAGTACATGTAAGCATCTTAGACGATTTTAGTTTGTTGTTCTTAGGTGTTAGAGTATTTAATTTGGATTTGTTTATTGATTTCGAATGGCAGGGGAATGGGAACTGTAGGTATTTTCAATGGTTGGACTCTGATGTATCTGACTGTGTGTCCAAAGTGATTCGAGGTCTATTGAAAAGGTTAGATAAGCAAGAGAGTGAAATGCAAAGACTTCAAGCAGTGATTGATGAGAAAAATGTCAAGCTTAAGAAGAAGAGTCTTGCTTCAAAATTTAAATTTTTGTATGGCTTTGGATTTGGAATTATTGTAGGTTTTCTTTCTTTCACGCTTTGGATGAGAAGTATTGATCCAAGTGAAAAGCTTTTCCAGCTGAACTAGGAACTATGTAGCTTAATGCTTAATGTTATGTACTCTAATTGTCTGTAAAAACTGGAAGTGAATTGTGGTTTGGATTAATGAAACGATGAAAGTATGCAAATTATGTACTGTAATTGTCTATTTCGATTATTGAATGTGGATATGTACTCTAATGCTAAATGTCAGCCACTACTAATTGAGCAAATGAGCAAATGAGCTCTAAGTTGTGACCAAATAATCATTTAGCTGTTAAGTGACCAAATAATCATTTAGCTATTAAGTGCTAAATGAGCTCTAAATGTATATGAACCTGTTGGATATGAACTTGCTGGATATGAACCTGGATATGAACTTGCTAGAATTGTTAAGCTCTAAATGTATAAATAACCAAATGAGCAAAATACATTCATTGTTTTTAGGGAAAAGGGTCAATAGGCCCTCGAACTTTAGCTTAAAAGTCAGTTAGACCCTTAAACTTTTTAAAGGTGCAATTACATTCATGAACAATTCATTTAGATGCAATGAAGCCCAAAAACAAATTAATGACCTGCTATCACAGATCATTAGGGTTCAGGCCACCTTCCGGCAAAAAAAAAAAGTGACCGACGAAATTTCCGGCAAAAAAAAAAAAAAAAAGTGACCGGCGACTGACGAACGGTCGCCGGCGGTCACTTTTTTTCCAGAAATTTCGCCGGTCACTTTTTTTTTTTGTTGTCGGAAATTTCGCCAGAAGGTGGCCTGAACCTTAATGACCTGTGATAGCAGGTCATTAACTTGTTTTTTTGGCTTCATTGCACCTAAATGAATTGTTGATGGGTGTAATTGCACCATTAAAAATTTTAGGGGCCTAATTGACTTTTTAGTTAAAGTTCGAGGGCTTATTTGATCATTTTCCCTTTTTTTTTTTTAAGCAAGCAAAATACATTCATAGTTAGCAAATGCCAAATGTATCTACTGACATTTTGCCTTGCATTCATGGTGAAACAACCTACCAAAAACATACAAAAACAGCAAAAATATCAAATGACCAATTCTGCAAAACCACTTGGTCACTTGGAATGAACATGACAACTAAATGACCAAATTGACTACCAAATGACCTACACCATGACAGCTATCACCTTGCTTGTTTAGCAAAAACATACATACATACATATATATATATATATATATATATATATATATATATATATATATATATATATATATATATATAAAACATACATCATTCACTGTTCCCTTGTGCTCACATACATCAATTTTTTCTCTTGGACAATCTCTGAAGTGCATTTAGAGTTATTAATCTCTGAGCTGATTTGTTCTTGTCAGCAACACTTGAAGTCTGAACTTGTGCAGCAATAAAAGTATACTGTTGTGCCACATGGTTCTGAAGTGGTTGTGATGTCAGAGATCACATTACCTCCTGAGATTCCTATACAAACAAGTGGTCAGTAACTTCAAAAATAATATGTAAACAACCAACCTAAATCTTGAACATATCATCAAGCACAAACGATGGGACTTGTGTTTCAACTGATATGTCTTCAAACTGCCCTTTTACATCACCTTGACCATCAACATGTTGATTTTCCAAATCAATATCTTCAGCCATTTGAGATACCTACATGATAATAATATTAGATATAACACTCAAATAATACACATGAAATGTTAGACTAACTGTCAGATATTACATGTGGATTTTTAGCCTTGCAAGTAGTCTTATTGTGCCCTGTCATTCCACATACTCTGCACCTTTTCACCTCCCCTAGTTTCTTTGTTCTGACTTGAGTCTTTTGTTGCTTGCTCTCTTGAACTGGGTCTATATTTCTCTTTTTCTTAGGTCTACCAGGTTGTGCCTTATATTTAGGTGGTAGTGGTGCTGGAAGATCTATTTTATGCCATAAATCTGAAGATTGAATGGGAAGTATAGCAGGTTCATAAGCTCTCAAATAACTCTCAACTGAATAGCATTTATGTACATAATCTTTAAGGTTTTGCCTCTGCTTTCTTATAGCAGCTACACCATGACTGCAAGGAATTCCAGTGAGATCCCAGGCTCTACAACTGCACTGTCTTTGGCTAAATCTACCTTGAAAGCCTTGAAGTTCTGATCATCAACTTGATAAATGTTATCATGTGACTTATAAGTACTATACCTAGCTGCCTTATCTTTTGCCTCTTCAAGACACTTCATAATTTTGGGACAAATCTTATGTGGATATGTCATCATTTTGTCTCTATTTTTCTGCATTCTAGTCATAAGATATATCCTGATCTTATCACACATTGTTAGGATAGGCTTGTCCCTAAAACTCAATATAGTGATATTCCAGCTCTCACACAAGTTGTTCAATAGCATATCTGTCTTTGGAAATGTGCTAAAAAAATCCTACAGTAGTGACTAGGCTCTTTGGCAGCCAACCACTCAGCAGCTTTCTGATCTTCTTCCTTTAACTCATCCATAAGCCTTTTAAAATCTGCCTCTGTTGTGCTTTTACACACAGCCCACAATTTTTGCTTCAACACATTTCCAGTAAAACCATCCTTGAGAAAGTTAGCATGCATATGCCTTACACAAAACCTGTGTTCCAGTCCAGGAAACAACTCCTCCACAGCTGGTAACAAACCCTTTTGTTTATCATATATAATTTTCCATGCATGAGGATTACTTGAAATGTTTAAATCATTGTCAAGCAGCTGTAAGAACCATGTCCAGCTATCCTTCAATTCTCCCTCAACAACAGCAAATGCTATTGGAAACATCCAGTTATCTCCATCAACACCAATAGCAGTTAAAAATTGCCCACCCTTTTGACAACCCTTCAAATAACAGTCATCCAACCCAAAAAAGGTCTACAACCTTTTAGAAACCATTCTTTGCAAGCTCCAAAGCAAATGTATAATCTAAGAAACCTAGGTCTCCCATTAACACTAAACTCACTGTCAAGCTTCATCTTCACAGTAGTCCCAGGATTGCTTCTCCTTAATTCCTCACAGTAATCATTCAACAACTTGAATTGCTCACAATCTTGACCATTCAGCTCCTTTCTAACCTTATGCTTAGCCCTATAAGCTTGATGTTATGTGACTTAACAATGCAATTTCTCTTTCACATACTCTTGAGACTATCTTCTACCCCAATCCATATTCAGTCTAGAATCATCTTTGTACAACCTAGCAAGGAAACCTGAGTTAACAGTTTTGTTATCATCTTGGTCTCCACATGTGTGTTCAGGGTTGTATGTCTTAATTTGAAATGGACATCTTGGATTGCTCCTTGAGGCAAAGATTCTCCATTTACAAATGCCATTGTGTCTACAATAAACCCTTACTCTTCTGCCCTCATTCTTTTTTAATTTCACATCCTTTCTTCTCATTGCCTCATGATACTTTACAGCCCACTTAAACTCAGAGGCAGATTTAAAAATCATTCCCAAAACAAACTTAAACCCTTCTCTTTTCAGGTATCTTTCTTGGAAGACAAGTTCAGTACCATTAACTTTCCTCTCAAAATCAGAATCAGAATCATCTAAACTCCTAAAAAATTTCTTCAGAAATTACACAATCAACATTAGAAACTTCTACGTCATTATTGTTCACATCCTTATTACTAGTCCAGGACCATTAACTTCTACCTCTACTTCTTCAAACACAGTATCTGGACCATTAACTTCCCTCTCATAGTGTTGTTCACTTGTCTCATCTCTGCCCTCACTCAGTAGTGCATCATCTCCCAAAGACCTAGATAACTGCACTTCATAATCCCATTGATTATCACAGTGATGTTCAACATAAATGTCCAACTCCTTGTTTCTTGGAACCTCTAAACTAAGCACTAAAATATCAGCATCTGTGCTTAGTTTTCTCACTTCAATATTTTTGGCATTTTTTTCTACCATTAACCTTAACCCAAAATTGGACCTTTTTATCACAGAACCTTATTTGTTTA